GTGATACTCCGGGGAGGTTTGTTGAGGTTTCTTTGGTAAGGTTACGAAACATGAGGTAGTTTATGCATGACACTACTAGAAAAACAGCCATTTACGATGCTCATTGCGCATCGTAAAACGCTCAGACGATGCGCAAATGCGCGTCAAAAAAGGCCCTGTCATAACAAGAGACGACACGCTTTTGCGCGTCGTCTGCGCATTTATGACACGCAATGCGTATCATTAAAGCCGCTGTCAAGAAAGGCCATGCCATTAATGAAGATGACACATATTTTTGCGTATCATAATTTTTATTTTATTTTTAAAAAAAATTATTTATAGATTTTCTAATTTTCAAATTAAATTTGCATTTATGTCTCATAATAGAAAATAAAATACTATATACAAAAAATACAATATATTGCACAAAAGTTAATGTCATAAAACTTCTCTGTACAAATGAACACATAGGGAAGAATAAGAATTTCCATACAATGTCTGCATCACTTAGACCCATTTTTTAAACAATTTCATTACTATATATATATATATATATATATATATATATATATATATATATATATATATATATATATATATATATATATATGACAATTTCTAGAAAGACAACCGTTTCTGATTCAGATAGCTCTGGCGACTCATCCACAGACAGGTTACCCATAAGCTGAAAAATAGAAAGGGCAAATTGGTCATTTTGGGATAAATTTTATTTCCAATGGGTCAAATGGGTAGAGAATGTACCTACATTTTCAATACAAACCATAGAAGTGACTCCAGCTGCAAAAAGTAAAGCAGATAGGAAGAGAGAACCATAGAGAATCCAAAGTGAATAAGATGAGGTGGCAAGCAAGAAAAATAAGAAAAGGTATTACATCATGATCATACCAGTTGATGAATTCAGAAGATTTGATGGAAGATTGAATGAGACCATCATGCCTGTATCAAGGGAAATTGTAGAACATAATGTAAGACTATTTGATTGGTTAAACCCATCAAACCATGAACCCTAAAAGCCATTCTAGTAAGCTTTCCATCTAGCTCTAGCAACACCTTTCCCATAGCCTAATTCTTTTTATATAATATAAAAAGATTTATGAAAAAGAATATAAAAATTTACAATTTCATTTTATAAGAATAATATATACCTTGGCAGCAAATGACAAGAAACAAGATTTATAAAATAAAATAAAAAGATTTATAAATCTTTTTTTTATAAAATATAAAAATATTAATAAAAAGACATAAATGCGCTCCTGATCCTTATCATTAAATGCAATACAAATGACAAGAAACAATAATATGAATTATAAAGTGATTTTTACCTTAGCAAGGAATCCAAATTGACCTAGCATGCAACTCAACCTGATAATGATGTAGGCATACACCTACTAAGAGCTAGCATTGTAATAAAATAAAAACAAACTTCAATTATTGCATCTACCTGTAAAAGAACAAGATTAAAAGATATACAAAAAAAAATTATGTCTAAAGCCACACCTATGTACATAGGCATACACCAGTGAGATTTAAATCAATAACTTCTTGAAGAAAAAGGTAATCAGAGAGACAATATTACATGAATGTCTGTAAAGCTCTGTATTTTCACAAAAGGCAAAAACATACAAATACAATAAATAGCAAAGGAATAAGTTAAATAAGGCCACAAATCAATCAATCCCTAAGAAAGAGGCGGTGACAGGGAAAGATAAAGAAGGAAACAATATGACTAATTCCCATTAGCAACAGGGAAAGATAAAGAACCATGCACCGATTCGTGCCTTGTAAAAGGTTACATTTAAAGTTTGGGATAAATAAGGCCCTTTTTATTTATTCCTCCTTTAAGAAAAAACTCACCGTTCCCTTTTACGGGAACATTTATCCCATTGGCAACAGTGATAGGAGTTTCATTTTCATTCGTGGTGATGTTTCCAAGCACCTCCCTTTGACAGATCATGTGCTCGGTTGGACCCGAGTCTATGACACCCCAATTATCATCAAACGTACATGCCATGTTAGCCTGAGGAGTCTGCTGTTCTGAGTTTTGCTCCTTGCAGCCACTAAAAAATTTCAAGAACATACCATATTGTTCATTACTTAGTCCAGGAACAGGACTGGGTTTGGTTTGAAATTTTCTTTCTTTGTCTTTCCAGGCCACCAATCGGGATACCCGATTCGCTCAAAACATCCTTCCCGACTATGCCCACCTTTTCCACAATGTGTACAGTTTTCTGTTTTGTTCGTTAAACCCCCTCTTTCTTTTTTCTGCCACGGTTTCTTTTGTGGTCGACTTTCTTTTCTATTGACATATAAGGCGGCCATTGATGTGGTTGTCTTCTTCCCGGTTGTCACTTTTCTTTGATGTTCATCATCGGCCACCATGTGATAATAATTACTTAAACTTGGTGTAGGCTTCATTGCTAGTATTTGTGTATGGATGACAGCAAAGTCGCTATCAAGACCCAGCAGGAACTCATACAGGTGCTCTTTCTCCCTTAATTCAACCAACTTCTTTCCCACCTCACACTTGCAACCATTACATGTACAACGTGGGGTGGGTAGGACAGTGTTTATTTCATCCCAGATTCTTCTTAACCTCGTAAAATAAGCCGAAACTGTGACTCCATCTTCTCGAGTTACATTGAGAATCTGCTTCAATTCATAGGCCCTCGGTGCACTTTCTTTTCCAAAACGTTCGTTCAGATCCTTCCAGATCTCGACTGCTGTATGTGTGTATTTCACGCTCGCACGTATTTCCTTCTCCATTACAGTTGTAAGCCACCCCTTGACCATAGAATCGCACCGCATCCATGCCATGTAATCTTTATCGGTGCTTTCTGGTTTCTCGATAGATCCATCGACGAACCCAATTTTGTTTTTGGCATACAAGAAATTTGTCATTTCTTGCACCCAGTCGTTGAAATTGTTGTCTATCAGCCTTTCATTGACCTGCATTTGTCTTGGAAAATCTGACGGATAGAGATAGAGTGGTGAATTCGTATCGATTTGATCATTGTTTTTTAACCCTCCTTCTCCGGCCATTAGGGTTTTTGGGTGAGGATCTTAGTTTCGAACAACCTTCTCTGATACCATCAAGAAAAAGGTAATCAGAGAGACAATATTACATGAATCTCTGTAAAGCTCTGTATTTTCACAAAAGGCAAAAACATACAAATACAATAAATAGCAAAGGAATAAGTTAAATAAGGCCATAAATCAATCAATCCCTAAGAAAGAGATGGTGACCAGGGAAAGATAAAGAAGGAAACAATATGACTAATTCCAATACTTCCTACCATTGAATTGTTGCCTGTCATATAGAAAAAAGGTAGAATTAGGTAACCTGCATTGTTGACCAACATATAAGTCTCTTGAATTGCATTAGTTAATGTATGTATTCATATGAAGCATACAAAAGATGTAAAATCATTGGCCAATTTTCCTGGAAGTGAGCTTATCTCCATGGAGTGTGATCTTCCAGCAATCGACTTGGAGCATAAATACAGATATATTCTTCAATACAACTGACATACCCATCATTATCATTATATATTAATATAATATATTGATTGTGAAAAAGGAAACAAAAAAGAAAGAACAAAATACCCTAAATATATCGATTTAGCCATTGAACCATTATATTTATTACTATTATTATAATACAGCGGTGAAAGTGCATGAAAAAATGTTTTCTTAAACGGTTAAAAAAGTATAATGATTAAATCACTATAAAATGATGAAAATTGATATAAATATGAAAGTATAAGTGGTTTCCTTTAATAGAGATGCTAATTACCTTTGTATTTATTATCTTTTGTGATTATTCCAAATGTCTCTGCAGTTTCACGTATCATGATCGCACTCACTCCAGTGAAACTAGCCATTTTGCATCGTGTAACTGATAAAAGTGAAAAAATTTAACACACCATAAAAAAAATTATGGTGATGAAATATATAAGAAAATTATATACAAATAGATACAGGGTGCAGTGAGTTTTAACCTAGAACAAGTGCCCTATGTAGATCTTCACCAACAAGACATTGAGCCATTTGACCTTTCCTGATAATAATTCCAACAAAATTTAAATAGAAAAAAAAATCGTTTGATCATTTTGAGAGTTAACAATCTGTTCAATTATTTCTTCTCTTGTGAAAAGAATTTAGGAAAAGAATTATTACCAACACTCTTTAGAAATTTCATCATGCAGTCTTTCCACATTTCATGCATTGGTTTAAATGTTTCAAAGCTGTAACAAAATATATACAATAAACTTTCAAAAAAATCTTATTAAACCTTAAATGGAAAATCTAATGGATGCATTTTGTGGTCCTTCTTGGAATCTAAAACTAAGATGGCTTTCTTCATTAAGGCTAAAACCTTTTTTTTCATATTTCATTCCAGTCCGTCATAGAGAGGAAAAAGAAAAACTCACTTGTGAAGCTATTGAGGCAAACCCATATATTTGAACAAAACAAGTACCTCGTTTATTAGTTTGCCCTGAGAAAGAATATTTGCCTACAAATACCAAAAGTATTATCAACTGCAAAGACTCCAATATAGCATGATCCTTTTTTGCTAATAACTAACATGACTTACTAGAGAAAATGGAACTAACCCTTTTTTCATCTAAAATAAACAAATTTTTATCTCAATAACCTTTCAAAAAAAATACACATCAATCTTTCTAGTGACTTCATCAATGCCACTGAATTGTTCCCTGTCAATATTCTTGCTAGACAAAGCCAACCCAGAACACAAGGTCTCTATTATATCTGAAAAATAAGTTATAGTACCACACTACCAGAAAACTAAACACTTTAATAGCCCGTATATAAATTCATTGCAATAGCTTACCAAATTCATTATTACACATTACCAGACTCTCCGGATCATCATCTTCCCGAGCATACTTTGCATGGTCATTTCTAAGAGTCCGCATCAGAATCATGGAAACCAATCCAATCATGAAGATAACCATCATGAATGAATTGAATATGGAAAATCAATGAATCTGCAGTGACGCAAAAAGACAGTTATACCCCCATGAGTGGAACTTAAAACATGAGTTATATACTTATAGTGTTCACCTGATGCTCAAAAAAGTGGTAATTCAGGTAAACATCAAAATGGCATGCAAATGTGATGTTGGTTTCTGTCCATTCAACTGAGTAAGTCATGTCTAGAGTTTTCCCAACTTCTAAGGGTTTTGGGTTCTCTTGAGTGAGGTTGACATGAATGATCTACAATAAGAAGAAATCATGATGTAAAAATATTAAAACGGTGTGACTATGAGAACCTTTTATAGTGTAAAAGTTCATATATGATTCAAAATTGGAGACCTGGCCTTTATTGTATTGTAGAGAGATATTCTTATGTGTGAATATCATATGCATGTTATCACTGTTCGTATCAGAATGTAGCTCACCAACAAATCCTATAGGGCCAACAATAGTTCCACGATAACAAAAAAGATGGGATTAAAATACTAGTTATAAAATAAAGTGAAGATACAAAAAGGGTTTGGTAGATGCATACCCCATAATGGAAGATCATCTGAATTTGTGCTCCAATGCAGCAGAGACCAAAGAAATTGAAATCACAAAGAAAATATGGGAGAAATAAGAATGTGGGGGAAGAAAAGTGTGATTCAAGAACAAAAGAAAGAAGAAAAGACTAGAAGGTGTACCCATGAAAAACTCAAACCAATAGTTATTGTCAATAGCTTCCTTAAAATGCTTAACATTTGCTTCATCGAGTTTAAGCTCACAAATTGTAGTCTTCTCCACATTCTCTGTCAAATGCTAAATCATATATCATATATATCATGTGCCATTTGATTTCATAAAGCTATAATTTACAAGAAAAAGTGACAACATACTTTGGAACTTGATTTCAAATTGGCTATCATAAGAAACACCTCATCAGCTATAATTATACATATAATATGCTCAAAAATAATATTATCAAAAAGCATAAATGTATGCATGTATATATATGTGTGTGTGTTAAAAGAATTATACCTGTGTTTCAGTAGAAATTGTTGCTTTTTGACAACCTATAATGAGTTTTTCTCCTAGATCCAATCGACTAAATATAACTGTAGAAAGATAGAAAACTTAATAAAATTATAAATATAGAAGATGAGAAATGAGTATAAGAATATAAGGATACTCCCTAGGGACAAGGGTATAAATGGAAATAGCATGACTGCAAACCAAAATCAGAAGATCTTGAAATCAAAAGGAGAAGTAAATATACAAAATAGAATTTCCAGGGACAAGGGTATACATGGAAACCGTAATAACTGTACCACCGAGTTCTGTTGAAGAAGATAGTCTTGGGGTCTTAAAATCATCGAAGCATTGTTAATGTTTTATGATAAGAGATAAGCGAAAGAGAACTTACTGTGACTGGATTAATGGAGTATACACCATGGTTGGCTCGATTATCGGACCTAGAACCATAATCCCACCACCACCACCGTTTCTGACAAGACAATGAGAGAAAGCATCTGAAGCGCTCCCTTGTGAAGAAAGCTGCGCGATTACAGAGAGTCCTTGTTGAATGAATCCAAAGATTCTGTCAATGGATCTATCGGGTTTGGTTAAATCACCAGTTTGGGATGTGCTACATCTGGTTCATGAACTTGCCAAGTCAATTAGGGTTTTTTTAATGAAAAATGAAAGGGGTTAATGGATTGGGATGAATTCCCCGAATACAATAGATGCTAAAGTGTTTGCTGGTTTTGAATCGCCGATGATTGTATCAAGTAGAAAAGTATCAGAATGGGATGGACAAGTAGAAAAGTAGGGGAGAATGATGGCGTACCTGAGAAAACAATGAAAAAGATGTAGAAAACGGGAGAAAGAACGGATCCTACCTGAGATGCATAGAGAGTAGAAGTAGGGATCGAGTATGGAGGAGGAAATCATAATTGTAAACCGTATGAATTTTCTGGTTAGGGTTTTATAAAAGAGAAGATGAGAAGTTTCAAAATCAAAATTAGAGGTAAGAATAGAGGAGAAATAGGAACTTGGATCATGTATTTGACATTCTTGATGGAATCATTGGTCTCGACCTAGAGAATGATGGTTTTTATGGTTAGGGTTTATCATACAAACATGAAGCATGAGCACCCGTGACATGAATGATTTGATCTCAATTGAGATAAATATAAACATTAACATATCATGATGGGGGTTTTGTTATCGGTGTAGTGCGATGGGAAAGAATGGTTGGAGAAGATGGTCGGAGACACTTGGTGGTTCGAGATCGGAGGTTGGGTGGTGGTGCGATGTTGTTATGAAGACAAAGGCCCTAGGGTTTTTTCTTGATAATTGGAAGAGGGGGGGTTGATTTTTGGGATCCAACACGCGGGTGAAATCTCGCCTTAAAAAATGCGAGTACCTTGGAGTTTTGGAATGACGACTTCTCTAGAAAAGTGATTTCGGAGAAAGAGATGTACGATCGAATGGACTCAAGTTGTATGATTATATCGGACCCACTTAGAAATAACGACATTAGATTTGATCATAAGAGCATTACAGACAAAACACAACAGTGCAACTTTTAACAGAGTTGAAGTACTTTAGATTTACTACAAGACTATTGTTGCAAACAAGGTATACTACAAAATGCAAATATATGCAGCACGAGGGTCCCTTTACTGACGGGATCTCACAAAAGATAAGGCTCAAGTTGCTTTAGTTTTAAATATTTTTAAAAGCATACTTAATAATGACGATTGGAAGTGAACCCATATTATAGTAGGGTGCTTCGTTGCCTTTTTCCATCCTAAGGTCAAACTCCTCCTATTCCACCATCATTCTTCTCTGTTGGGCAGTCCCTCTATAAGTGACCCATTATGCCGCTTAGATGGCATATTCGAGAAATTTCGACATTGGTGGTTGAAGTAATGTATTGGATCCGAGTCTTGCAGAAGCGGGTAGTGTGTCCGTTCTTGTTGCAGTTCTTGCAGTGTAACAAACGACAACTACCTAGATGATGGAAGCTGCACTTATTACACTTCGGTAGGTTTCCGGCATATTGACTGGCTGGGTTAGGGGAAATTGGGATACCAGAAGGGATAGTAGTAGGAGTTACAGATGTCGTGGCCGTGAAGGCTGCCACAGGTTGTTGTCTTTTATTCGTCCTTTGGGGCTTGTTGCCTATAAATCTATCCTAGAACTTTCGTTTGTTATTCTTGGGCTTGAGATTCGGGGTATCATGGTAGTTTGTTACTCGTTGAGGTACTTGATTGCTACTTGGATTGGAATTATTGGTAACAATCCTGCTAACATTTGCATTGTTAGCATTAAGGTGAGTCAGAACAACTATCACGGCAGCTGAGACTGCAGCTTGGAAGGTAATTGCATCAATCTAAAGAGTTAGTGTTTGGTTGATGGGTTAATTACTTTTCTTTGGCGACATGATTCTGTAACACGAAAGAAAAGGAGTTCGTGAGCGATTATGGTTGAACCTATATGTATTTCAATCGTTCATGTAAAGAATATAAATATGTTCTCGAGGGCTTGACCTACATCCCTATGATGTAGTCCTAGTAAAGAGTATAAGTACGTTCGTAGAATGGTCTCAAAACATTTGTCGTCTAAACCGGGGTATTATTGGTTGGTGGATAACATGATCCAACCTTTGAAAGAGAATTGGAAATTATCCCGGAGTTAAATTACTATAGTCCAATAACTTGACTACATGGGGTTTCAGATAGACTCCAATGAAAGTATGATGAAAGTATTTGAACAAAGAGTGACACAGAAGTTAGTCGACTGTCAATATCAATTATGTTTAAGATGTAATAAGTTTGGGAAAATTAACCTTTTAGTAGGTCTTACATCATATCCGGAGTAGAAAAGTCTTTGACCGCATAAGGCCTAACTAAAAGTACTTACAGTACAAGGTAGTCACATAGAAAAGTGCTACACAGAACATAGACAAGAACATGGTTCTTTAAAACAAGAAGGAAAGTAAAACATCTCCTACTGGCGACGGTCACCCCTATGGTGAACCCTTAGTTCAGCTAGTTGACGTTCCATATCAAGCAAGTAACTTTCGTACACCCTCTGGCGTACTCGGAGTTCTATGACTTCGGATCGAGTTTCAGCTAGTGCTTGCAGTAGGGTCTCATGGTCTCTCTCAGATCTCTCACAAGTGTTTTCAAGGTGATTGGTGTGGATGGTATGCATTCTTGCGTTGGCGTTAGCCTCTTCGATACGATGGAGAGCCGTTCTACCGTGAATTTCGTTTCGGGCAACTCTACGGACTAGGATTGGTAGAACTCTGTCTGCTTAGCTCCCTTCGCTTAAGTTGTAGAAGCTTCAGTCTCCATTAAATGGCATAGGTTGTTCTTGCTCTTCGCTCCATGTTTCCAAGCATTCTACCCAAGGAGGAGTTGGCCCATGAAAATCCAGACGAGGGTTAGGATTTGGAATGGGAGTTACCGAGGGTAGGTTCTTAACCTCAGGCTCGGAGTTATCATCATCCGAAAGGTCTTCAGCATGGTGATCATTCAAAGGGATTGGATGATCATCCTCTGGTTGTTCTCCAAACCATCCAGCATTGCCTTCCTTCGGAAGGTACGAGTTGTCGTGGGATGGAGTCCATCCATGTATTCCACGCGAGAATTAGGGTAAGGAAATAATTATTAGACGAACTATCTAGATAATTATTAGATAATCTTCATTAGTTACATCAATACTTTTAAAGTGCATACCAGTTATATGTAATCAAAACATGATAGGCCTTCGAATAAGTGACCTTAACTCCAAATTCACAAGGAACAGGGGTAAAGCAAAAATTCACAGATTCTAAGTCTACGACATCCTAGTTACATATAACCTTGGTATATCCACTTACCAACTATCGATTTAGAAATGAAGATCCTTTTTAGTTCTCAAGTAAGTAATTATAGTAACACAAAATACTCGTATAGTATTTTAGACTTATGTTCTGTTTTAGATTTCTCATTGTAGTAGTGTTGGTAAGTTTTTAGAAATGTCGTCATATCACAACCATTCTTGGGAATGTGCTAATCACTCCTCGGACCAGCATAGTTGATCAGGCTATGCCACTCCCAACACTGACCATACATCCCCGAGCTTACTTGTGATATTCAACAATCGTAATACTTTTTTTCTTGTCATTGTAACACAAAACTTAGTATGAATGCAAGTATGTACACTTAGTTAAATATTTTATTATTTAAAGTATAAAATCTTGGTTAGAGTATTTTTATCCCATTGTATTTTATAGTACGTATATCTTTTATGCGTTGATATACTCGATTCACTATAAACAATGCTCTGATACCAATCTGTCAAACCCCAAAACCGAGAACGGCGGAAACATTCTGGGGTGGAGGACGTCATGTAATGTATCATAACAATGTAAAGTAGTAAACAAGCAACAACATCATCCATTGCATTAATAGTATAATTTTAATTACAATTGTGTCCTTTCATAGTAATAAATAACATAATGAATAATCAAAATAAAAGATGACTCTTGACTGCTCCATCTTCACAAAACCTGGTCGTCGTACCTGTCTATTTGTGACATGAGAATACAAGTTATTTTGAAAGCGAGTATCAACAATAAAGTTGGTGAATTCATAAGTATTTATGTGTCTTTGATTTGTAAAACTGTAAACAAAAGACTTGTAAATGTTTGGAGAAAATTTTGTTTAAGTATGAAAATGTTTGTAAGTAATTGTAAACGTTTAAAAAACCCTAGAAAATCCCATATTTCCTACTAGTATAAAAAGTAGTCTTCTACCAAGACCCAATTGTTCTGAAAGTACGTATCACTGTAAATGTGACGGTTTTTCCCCTGTATAACTATTATTATTATAAAATTGTAGTCTACCTCATCGTTTATGTGTATGTGTCAAAAAATAAAGGTAATAAGGAAAATAGTATATCTATATCAAATATATTCTACCTCATCGTTCATATGAATGTGTCACCAATTAAAGGTAAGAAGGAAAATAATATAATAACTAAATTTGTATCCTTTTGCACTAGGATATTCATGGCGTGGTTACTCGCCAAACAGTACAACCGTAGACACCCGTCGATGAGCATTTTCCCTACAGTAGCTAACAGCCTTAGGTGTGGAAAGGTAAGTCCCATAACGTATGTAATAGTATCTATGTAATAGTATATATGTAATCGTATCTCTGTAATCATATCTCTATAATTGTCTCTCTTGTAACTGTATCTATCGTAATTGTATGTATTAGTATCTGTTCATATAGTATGTAATGTATTAGTATTGTATCTCTTCATATAGTATGTAATGTATTAGTATTTCTGTAATTGTACAGCATGTAATGTATTAGTATAGACTCATGAATGAACTGACTCTTGTCTGATTCTTTGTACTTGGAATAGTAAGTAGTATCTCCTAACTATACCTATTATAGTTACTAGTATTGTATGTGTATAATCAAAGGTATACCTTTGCTACCCAAAGGTATTGAACTGACTGATGGAACTTTTATGTCTATATATGTATACATGATATATAACTAATATTTAGATGACATTCGGATGAATAACCGATACCCTAAGGCAACATCCAAACGAGGAAAGGGAATTAAAGTAACTATACATATATAGGCATGCATTTGACAATATAAAAGTATAAAAGAAGTTTTGTAAAACCTTTGAAAAGTTTGATAACTAAGAAATGATGACTTGATGTCAGTTTATAAAACGAATTGAATGTAGTTTGTTTGATAAGACAGTTTTAAGTATAAGAAAAACCTTTGTTTGAAACACATTTTTAATGGAGTTTGAAAGGAAACATACAGTATGTAAGACATTTTGATAAAGAGTTTTAACATGTACAAACGTTTGAGAAAGTCATTTCAAGTAATATGTTTGGTAAAATAGTTAAAAGTGTAGTAAATCCATTTGTATGCTAGTTATTAATCACATGCAATTGATATAATAACTAGCATGATTCAACTTGTATTCCACCCCCCCCCCCATAAAAGCATTTATAAACATTTAAAAATATTTAAAAGGTTAATTAAGGGGTATGAACTTACCTGCTGTGAGTGGATCGTATGGAAGTGTCGGACAAGTTATTGGTGTTAAGTGTAGAATTAAACACACACAATGATCCTAATAACATATAAAGACATATGTATATATACAATTAGTGATTATAACACTAATTAGACATGTATAAACATCCTAATGCATGGAAAACACTTTGGTCAAAGTGTTAGGAGTCCATTGGGTTGCAACAAAGGAGTGTAAGGCATTGTTATTGAGTTTATGGTCCATGGACCATACTTAATGGAGTTTATGGCCCATGCGAGTTTACTCCTGGCTGTAAACTCTCTAATGGGTCTCAATTTGAGGCTTAAAGGTAAGATGTCTTAAGTGGTTAAGTGTTCCAAGGTTTTAACAAGAGGCTAGGTGGGTTTAAGGTCCAAGAAATGACCTTAACTTGTGTTTACGGCCTAGGGATCACTTCCCCATTACTTGATGCCCGTAAACTCATGGTGTGAAGCATTAACTCGAAGTTTAATGTCCCTAGTTCATTGGTGTATGGTTCCAGGCTAAGTTCTGGGAATAAGGAAGGAAGATAGGGCATCAGTGCACCCATATAAGGAGTTTACGACCTTGGGAGATCCTTGGCCATAAACTCTCATTCATCTATTGATTCTTGATGTTTCTAAGCTCTAAACATGTTAAACCTAGTGTACAACGAGTTAGAACAAGAGTACTTACAATCTAGGAGCTTGAATGGTTGGTTTTTGCCAAGTACACTATTGTGTGTTCTTGGTGTTCTTGGTGAAACTTGAAGATCTACAAAAATGGAATGATTTCACGGATGAAATCATGTAAGATCACTAGTTCATGTAAGATATCAACTTGTTAGGGCAAGAAACTTAGGAGTTTTGAAGATCGGGGACGAAGATCGGGATGATACTTGAGAGGATTTCAGCGAAGGGAAAGAAAGGAATGAACAAAATGGCCAACACTTCATCATATAGGAGGAGTTTATGGCCCACATGGAGTTTAGGACTGTAAACTTCCTTGTGGTGGCCATGAACTCCTGATCAAGGTGTTATAGGCCTATTCATTGAGCTATAACTTTAACAGATAAACCCCGACACTTATCCCTTAAGTGTACAAGGCTCAAAACACTCAAATAGACTCTAAATTGTGCTAAATGATAGTAGGAATGAGTTTGACTTTCAATGAAGTGTTTCACTATACAGGATAGAAAATTTTGGGTTGTCACACCTAGGTTTTGACCAGATGATAAATTGATGTGATTTTGAAAGTTCAGGAGTTGGTAAAATACCTTTCTATTTTGGATTGTCTATGGAATATTTTTGAAAATACCAGATTTTCTTTTGCAATTTTGCAGGAGGTTTTGAAAAGTTTTTGATTACTGTACATTCCTTTTTGTTTGATCCTTTGCCTGTCATATTTTTTGAAAGATTTTTGGCAGTAGTGGGTTTTACGAAGTTCTTTTGATTAGAAATATTGGTTTTTTTGAAAGTTTAGTTTTTGAAATCAGTATCCCGCTTTTTACCTCGGGACCTGAGTACTTATTTGAATGCCAAATTTTCTTGAGTTTTTGGAAACCGCAATCAGAAATATTTAACTATGGTTTCTTGAAAACCATTGAATGAGTCGAAAAACGAGGACTTGAGTCATCCGAACTACAGAGTTCAAAACTATGAGAATATTGGCCACATTCAAAATTTTCAATTGGTAATTCATGAAGAAAGGGTTGAATGGTCACTATGCTTTTGATTACAGTCTGCATTACAAATGACTGGACTACTGCAGAGTATGTCAAGGATTGGTTCTTGTTGGAAAATTTTATGGAAGGCAAGGATGGACATTTAACAACTAACTCTGGTCCTTCAACAACAATTTCTTCATTTACATCCGAAGAGGACTGAGAATCGGGACAAGTTGTGTCAATGACGGGTAATTGATCACTTGGATTATCATAGGATTTAGGAAGAATTTCCTCAATAACATAACTCTTACTCAGCTCATGAAGTCTATCGAAATTACATCTTATGTCTTCGGGGAAGGTTTTGTTATTGACTGGGTAATAAAACTCGCGATCCGGACGGGCATATGGATGATCAACATTGAACCGGGGAGTAGACTTCTCTACGGTAGAGTACCCATTGGACCATCCCCAATTGTAGGTGTTATCTACGGGATCATTGTTAATTAAGTGTTCAATTGCTTAAATTTAATTAAATAGATTTTCTAGTAATTGATTCAAACGTACAATTTCTTTCTAGGCAAGATCCATTTGATTTGAAGCAATATCTAACTGAGTTTCATTCAACATTCTAGTATCCCAACTTCTCGAGATACTCATCAACAACTCTCAGATCTATATCAGTCAGGTAAGCATCTTGATGCTCAATCTTCAAGATATCGCTAATGAATTGCTCAGAGATAACAATATTGCGTCCCCTGATAGAAGCTTCAATTTTCACTAATCCATTGTCTCCAGTCTTGACACTTGCAGATCTCCATAATTCGTTGATCAGGTTTAGATAAATGATGGGGTTCCATGTAAGTGCAGTTGAGATGCAACACTCCCTTAGCATGTACATCATTGATTTGAACTTGTTGTCTGCTACTGGAGGATCATCAAGAAGAGTGGACATGTGACTTTCTGCAACTTTGAGACTTGCCATTTTATTTGCACACAACAAGCCAGGTGAGAAAACATTTGATTATAATAAATTAAAATTATTTTTTCAGTTAAATCCATTAATATTGGCCATTTTAAATTGAATTTTATTAGACAAACATGGGTTTTCGGTCAAGACAGTCACACCGAAAACTCATGGACCGAACACTAGTGTAGACCGAAAGCCAATTAGAACCGAAAAAGGCTCAAATGAGCCGGTTTGACTGAATCATGGCTTTGACCGAGAGCTGTCTAAGCTGGCTTGACCGAGAATGGCTCGACTTAACTAAAAGCTGGTTAGTCGATGGACCGAAAACGGCTTCCATCGAAAATGTAACATCGTAGATTTCAAAATAATTTTTCACATTTTTAAAACACACTTTCATTCATAATTGGTATAAAAATGTAATTCTATCACATAACAACCCATTACATCCCAAGATCATAATATTTAATTGTTGGATTAATGTCTAAGTCCATAACTATAATTGGTAAGACTTGACCCGACCCGGCATGGTCCATTTGGGTTGCATGGCATCATGCACTTGGATAGACTAAAATGAGAGAAATAACACTTAAGGTTTATTACTATATTATAAGTTCTAATATATTAATAAGGTTATTTAATTAGTATTTATCAAGAATTAATTTGGAATTAATTAAGTGATCAAAAGGAGACTAATTAAATATATGGGTTGATTGTGTAAATCATTCATTCTTATATATGTGGGCTTGTGATCCAAGATTCCTTATGTTGGACTAAGTCCATGGGGTGACCCATGGATACTCCATGGAGGTTAAAATCCATGGAGCATAAGAGATGGGTAAAGTCATGAGTTACATGGTGTAACCCTAATAGCCACCATATAAAAGAAACCCATGGCTCAAGAAATCGTGGACACTATGGGTATGTGTGAGGGCATAACGATTTCATGGAGTGTTCTAATTTCTCTCTAAGTTATTCCAAGTGCTTATGGTGTTGTGTGAACCATTTGAGGTGTCACACATGGGACACTAGGCACTCAAGCTTCATGAACACAAGCACCAAAAAAAGGTATGTTATTCTAACTTGTGTTATTCAAAGTTTTGTATGCTAGAATAGAACAATACCTTGGAAAGTTGATATTTGCATGTATAATAGAGAAAACATAGATCCAAGGTATTTAGGGTTGCATGTACACTTAGGAGTGTTAGATTGCTCAAAACCCAACAGTGGTATCAGAGCCTAGGCTTGTTTTCTTGTTGTACTTGCTTAAAGTGCTTAAAATCGACTTTTGGTGCTGTCTGCCCAGCAGACTCGTCGAGTCCATGAAGGGACTCGATGAGTCCAAGGCAAAATGCATCCAACTCGCCGAGTTTGTTCGTGCACTCGACGAGTTGGACCCCCAGACAACATATTTTCGAGTTTTGGTGCTGGAATTGGTCTAGAATCATTACCTTTGACTGTTTTGGGCTTATAAAACTTGTTTTGAATGTGGTAATGATTATGTTAAACCAATTTCAATGCTATAATAAAATTTCAAGTTTATATGTGTTCATGTTATTCTTGAAAATTGTTGATTATGAATGATCATGCTTATGAGTTTTGTTAGATCATAGGAATTGTGTGCAAATAGTTTGTTGATATAATTCATGATCTTGTTGAAAATTGTATGGAGTTCATAACTTGTCCTCAAGTTATGAATTTTCAAGAATTTTATGTTTCCTTGATTTATGAGTTAGTTTAGATTGATAATGAAAAAATTATGTTTTAGTTGTTTTCAATCCATATTAGTCTAAAAGAAGTTCATAAAATATGTTTTTGTAACTTGTCTTCAAGTTATGTGAAAAGTCATATTTATGAATCTTAAAAACTCATAAAAGTTTTGTAGGTTACATAAAATGTAAGAGTTTTTTCCATTAAATAGTTTAATGACTCCATAACTTGTCCTCAAGTTATGGATGTTGAAGAGACACTTCTTTAAAGTGTTTTTAAAGAATAAGGGGTTACATTAAAATGAAGAGTCTTCATTTTAATGAACCATTAAACTCATAAGTTATGATTTAAAGAGTCTTGAAATAGTTTCAAAACTTGCCCTCAAGTTTTGGAATTTGAAAAGTTACTCCTCATGTATACTTTAATTCCAAATTGAACATTGAAATTTTAAAAGGTTTAAAATTCAACCCTTATGCTATTATTATAATTTTAATTATATATATATATATATATATATATATATATATATATATATATATATATATGTATAAGAGGAAGTCAATCTTAGCGTTAGTAGGCCTCATTCACGAAGCCGGTCTATAAGGGGGGTATAAGGTTACTGCCTATAAAATGGCAGTTTAATGGGTGTCCACTCTCACTCACCGCTTCCTTGACTGGTGAGGGTCGTTAGCGTTAGCCGAACGGGTAGGAATGGACTATAATTCTCCCTTCATTAAAAGTATAATGAAAAATACTAAGTAACTAAACACTTATAAATTCCCAATCTTAGTTACTTAGGAAAATGTGAAAAGGTGCTAGCCCATAAAATTACACTTTGTACCTTACCAAGTCGTTAGTGGAGCGTGTGTGGTTAACCGGCACACTAACATGGACTAGTAAGAGTGGCAAAGGGTAACTTGACTTTATTATAGATCGGTGGAGCGCGTGTGGTTAACCGGCACATCGATTAGGTAATATTGTTAAGGGTACCAAGTCAATTTGTATGGTTATTCACACCTTGTTTGTGATCCTCGGCATCCCAGTCACAAATTTGAAAGGGCACAATCGAGATTCAAACATGCCATTGAAAAGTTCAATGTATCTCAAAAGATCTAGGAGTTTCAAAACCAATAAAACCTAATAATAAAATATTTCGTTTTCATGGTGGAAATTGGTAAATCGTCATTTACCTACCTTCAACTATTTTATAATTTGGATTACGGCATCCCTCTTCCAGTTATAAATAGGTTGTTGGGTCCTAGCCTTAATATTTCATATTGGGTGTTATATTAAGGACTTTAAATCAACTAACTTGAATTTCTCCCATTATAGATGTCTAGTTTAGACAGCTATGGTCTTCCCAAATCTTTAGGAACAAGCTTCCTAATGAAGATGATATCCCAAATGGCAATCAAGGTGAAAGATCAATCCTTTGTTGGGCATTTGTGGAACTAGAAATCATACTTCACTTAATCCACCTCCTCCAATAAATCTCCCTATCCCACAAGTTTTAAGACTTGATAATTTCTAAGTCACTCAATCCCTATTGGCAAGCAAAGTTTATATGTGCTTAGATCTTGGGGATTAAGCCACATATTGACAAGTCGGGAGAGTCGGGTGTCGAAGTCTCGAGGTAGCTGGCTGCTGACTTGGTTCTTCAGTCACTCCCTGATGACAGGTCGCGACAAGACCCTTAATGATCTTACCTATTTGCTCGATGATGCTAAATCAGCAATGATTTGGAGCATTAGTAAAGCAAATTGGATTGGAAGATCTACTTTCCAAACCTATTTGGACATTGAAAATGGTGACATTGGAGGTCCAGGAAAAACTTTCTCTTCCCAATGGAAAGGGATCCCATAGTCAACTCGGTTGACCAAATGGTAAAGAGAAAGGTTAAGTCTGTGATAGTTCCATGTACGTTTCCAAAGAGTCCATATGATTCTGTTGCCAAAGGAAAGATTTTGGTTGCGAAGCTGCTAAATTTACCTGAAACATCTTAAGGATGGTAAAGTCAATAGGTTTGACTCTACTTCAGGTAAAGTCCATTGTCTAACTCTATTAAGTTTCTATTCTGAGATTCTTATTGCATAATGTGACGAGGTCACATGTTGATGTTTTAAGAATCAAAGAAAAAGTGAAGAAACTTAAAGGAAGTATATGCTGATTCTGATCGCGAAGATGGATTTCGATCGCATGGTTCGGTGATCAGAATTTTGAGCTGTTACTTAAGAGTTATGATATATTGCTTAGGAATAGATAACAACAAGTTTTCCATATGGATTGTAAGGATTAATTTTTCCGCAAAGTTTTAAAATAAAAGAAAAATGGTTTTGATTTTATTTATTTTAAGTATCCTTACAATGGCATTTGTGAAAAATTGTTGATTATATGTTTCCATTGATAAGCAATATAGGAAATGGATTTGATTCTTTCATTTGTGGTAGTGTCATAGTTTACCAAATAAGGAAAGATTCTCATCACCCAAGTTTCAGTTGGATAGAAACTTGGAATCATGCAAGTTGTATTGTGTGATGAATGAGAATTTTCATCTTTGGTAAATTAAGACTAATTCCTTGTTCACATTCACATGTGAGTCAAGTGAAGGACTAAAGGATTGGGTACACTTGGTTGTGTGCTGGTCAGGTCCACCACAAAGGTTGATAAGATTTACTAAAGTTTAGTAAATATGATTATGCTTACAAGTTTAAGTGTAATTCTGAAACATTGGAAAAGTTTCAATGTATGGCAGAATGAAAAAGAAGAATCAAATAAGGCAGAAAGATAAAAGTTTCTCCAATCTGAAGAGATGGGAGAGTACTTGTGTATTTTGTGTTATGATTATCTTAGTGATTATGAAACCATGTCACAATTGATCCTCTAGGACACCTTAGTTCATTTTGTTTGACTAAGGAGAGGAATCGTGAATTGTTGAAATGGTTAGATCAAAAGATAAATTATACTTCGTTCCAAAATTAAATCTTAGAGTCATACTCCAAGATTAAGCCTTGAGTGACATAATCTTAAGAAAGGTTTATAACACTTGTTAAATGTAGAGTAAAATGTGTTCTTACTCTTGTACATTTGAAATTGGTAAGTTGTGATGTTTTGGATAAAACAAAGACCAACTAAGACCAATTGTGAGAAGTGTTTAACTTGATAAGAATCTGCACTAACTCTTGAATATTCGTTTTTGTCAAGGAATGGTTCTTGACAAAGAGAATCTTATATGTCAAGAGGTCAGTGGGAGCCTTAAAAGGATCTTAAGATAGATTCAAGAACTAATCAAGAGTTTTGTTAATCACTAG